GTTATTCCTGGAAATGCTCTGCAAGGAGTTATTTTTGGGTGTCTGGGTCATTTTTCTGCTTTTTAATCATCAGGAAATCAGCAGCTATGTAATAAAACAGATAATATTACCAATTTTGTGTAATTACAATTTGTAGGTTTTGTCACCTTCAGTTACCCCCAGATGCCCATCCTGAGTTAGGTTAAAACACTGGGCTCCCAAAGAGGATTGAGGGATTCAGGTTAAATGTTTGATCTTAGCGATGGATACAGGTTGGATAAATGCTAAAATACGGGACACATTAATCCAGGGGATGTTGAACCTTTTGAGTCAAAGGACCAGTTACAGGGGAGCCTCAGATTTAATACTAAACTTTTGCAAACTGTCTATCGCCTCACCTTTTTTGCAGCTTGCAGCTGTTCCGAACACTTAACAAACCCACCACCTGTCCTTTGTCTCCCTCAGATCGACCATCAGAAATGCCAAGAGCATTCATAACAAGTCTCGCCAGCGGCTCAGTCAGGAAACCTACCGCCGGAACAGCCGCCGGTACTTCCAGCAGAAAGGCAGCCGGCTCAGCGAACCACAGAGGAACTCCAGGAATGCAGCAAAGTCGCCGCTGAAGGAGATGAAGAACCAGGGTAACGACCACGTGTCCACCACAGTCTTAAACTCTCTGAATAAAAAATAAATTTAGCAGTATTCACATGTTTGAACATCTACTCTTGTAAAGTCTTTGAAAAAATGCTAAAAGGTTTTTGTTTGTTTGTTGTTTTTTTTAAATTAATTGTTTTTCAGTTCGTTCATTTTAGACGTGTCAAAGCAAAAATGCTACTGCAAACAAAGCTTTTGAGGCTGAAACTGATACAGGGGGATGTATGTTGGAAACTGTACGCTATCTGCAAGCTCCACGTGCTGGAAATCAAACTGAAAATGTTCTCACACTGGAATTCTCCACATACTTGTAATTTTCTCTAACAGTCAGCAGTCTGTGCTGTGTGTAATGTGATGTATAAAAACACATCAGAGCCAAACTGGGAGGATTTTTGACTTCCTGTAATCCCATTTTGCAACAAAACGGTTGGTTTGTTACAACTGAGTTAGATGTGCAACAGAGAGCGCTAACTAGACAGCCGTCAGCCAATAAGAATGAAAGGAATTAAAAGGCTAAATGGGTAAAAACTTGATAAAAGCCATGTACAGGTCTCAGCCACAGAGACCTTTTACCAACACCAAGCCCGGACATACGATTGCATGAGGAAGGTCAAAAGGCATAAAAATCTTTGACAGGTTGAATATGGATTCAAACTTGTTTCATAATACTGGAATATTTTAGTCCAGGAGGAGGCCAACGATCCACTGAGATGTCAGCTATCTTTATTAGAACCATCAGAGTAAACCTTAAAGGCCTGTTTGGGGATTGGAAGCTTGTTTTAGGGTTTAAAGGTAGACTTGAGTTCAGGGCGAAGGTTGAGTCCATGTCTGTGGTGGTTAAACATCATGTTGGGAATACATTAACGAACAGTTCTTGTGATACAAATTCGGAATTAGTACTTAACTGTACTACTACTGTACTTAAGTAGTATTTTCAGGTATCTGCACTTTACTTGAGTAGTTTGTCTTCCGACTACTTCTTACTTTTCTTCCCTACATTTTTGAAACAGGCTCGTTTGCTTTAACACATTTGAGACGAGTTATATTCTGAAACAAAGTGACGGACTTCAGCTGTTACTGGAGTATTTTTTAACGCCAGTATCTGTACTTCTACTTAACTGCTGAATGTCTCTGATAAAGTTGTGCCACCTCTGGACAGGAGTCTCAACCAGACCATTAAAACCAAACACCTGGTGACACTTCTGTTTCAGTTAGTGTGAACGTGGTCTTTAACGTTGTTCCTCGAACCCCGGGCTGACCTGCTCGTGCTGTTGTTTCTGACTCACAGATAACATTCCCGAGATGTCCGGCACCAGCTCGGAGAGCGAGCTAAAGAAGGAGGCGCCGGTCATCCCTCCCCGACCCAGCCCAGAGCTCATCTTGGAGCGCTGCACCGACAACACCCGCAAGAAAGTCAGCATCCACAAGTCCCGGTCCAGCTCCTGAAGCTAGCACACAAAAGATTTGACGGAGCAATCCTTAGAGCCGCTTTGTTAACACGAGTCCTAGTTTTAGAAGACGTTCATGTTTTGAGTTTGTAGATTTATTACAAGGTGTGGATAAAAGGGCTGGAAATGTAACTGCCATCAAACGCATGGAAAGACCAAACAGCAGCCACGTGTCAGTAAGTTATTCATTGGTTTGTGAACACGTCTTTAATTCAGCCTTTCAAACATTTCCTCACTTTTCAGTGGCGTAATGATCCATATTTTCTAGCAGATGGACGGTCAGAATGAATGAGTGTGAAGTTACGTGGTTTGACTTTAGGCAGCAGCACATTTTGTTTCAGAGCTTTAAAGACTCCATGTTTTATATCTTTGGACTACTAGAGCAGCTTTGTATGATTCAAGTCCAAAATAATGCCTCTTTGTCTTACACTGGGCTTGAGCGCAGCTCCTGAGTTACTCCTCTGTCTAACATAAGCTGTTTTAGCTCCTCCTCTTTTAAGCCAGCTTTCTTCTGATTGGCTGCCCCTCACAAACAGGTCTGAATAGCAGGTTGTCTGCTGTAGATGTTCATCTCAAAGATAACACCATTAATTTTTATTATGATTATAAGCAGTAATGGAACTCTGACCCACCTGCACCATTAACATGTAGATTTGGATCTTTGGTGATAAAAGCATAAGCGTGTCTTTGGCACATTTTTATTAGTTATCTGGGGGTAAAAATGCTTTGTTTTGTTGTCATTTGTAAGCTTATTTTTAATTTATGCCAAATATCAGCACAAAAAATGGTTTCGGAATAAGTAAATGCATTTGTGGAGCATCACCTCACCTTTTTATTTGCTTGTTGTCCTATTTAAAGTGTACATGTTACGCGACTCTGACTGTCATACCTCTATTTTTTTGTAAATTGCTTTATAAAGTATAAAAAAAGGTTCGAGGTGTTCATCGAGTAATTTACTTTTATTAGAAAATAAAGGCCATTGCACAGCACGTGTGCTTTATGTACATGAAACTCTTTGTGTGATTTTTGGTGATTCAGTCGTCTGTGGTCGCACATTTTAAAGCCATCCTGATACCTTCTCCCACCAACGATGTGGAGATCCAACTTTTTTAGATCCAGTTAAAATCCATCAAACAGATGCTCTGGAAAAATTCCAGAATTCTTGGAACAGAGTTTAATACACCGAATCATGAACAGCAAGAAAATACATACAAGGTATAGCAAGATAACACAGCGGAAAGCAAGCAAAGCAAACAGCCTTAAGCACAGACAGCAGAGCAACACAGAGACGCCTCTGGTCCTCTAATATATAGGGACCAGTATCCCCGCCCCCTGCTGCAGGGTAACTTTCCCACCCGTCCTGCAGCCAAACACAGCTGCAGGGTCAGGTAGCAGCCAGTCCTGGCCAGAGGCCAGTCAGGACTGGCTACGCTTTTGGCTTTGGCTTATCACAATAGGTCATGACACGGTAAAACGTCGCACATAAATCCTAATTATTAAATCTTAAACAGCAAGTGGCATAATCGTAAAATATACAATATTAACTACATGGGTTACATGCTTAACACAGTAATTCTCATACATTAAAACACTTCAGTGTAGGTTCAAAGTTTGTGTGTGTGTGTGTGTGAGTAATTATATTGTGTGATGTTTTATTGTGATGTGCTCAGGTTTTCTGTTAAATTGTTACTGTTGCATGAAAGACATTGAGTGTGTATTGAGAGAGGTTACCGGATCTGGAGAGTGAGTCATTCAGGAGAAATTCTCTCCTTACATTAACTGCCCTGTTACTCTACCACGTTAATAAACCATGTGCTTAAGATTCTGCGTGGAAGTTAAAATATATGTTCAGTGCAGATAAGGTAAGGTTTATTTATCAAGTGCTTTTCGTAGACAGGCAGTTACAAAGCGCTGTACACAAAGGTTAAAATAAAGAAAACATTAAGTAATAAAGTAGACAATATAAACAATGCAAATTCAAAACAATTCAACAATTCAAAAGTGTTGATAGATATATCAACACTTTTGATATATCTACACTTTTAATATCTATCTATCTATATATAGTGTATATAGTTATATAGGTATACATGTCACACAAGTCCACCACACATACTGCCATCATTACGCATTCGCATAATTAGTGACTGTTTCACTTTGAGTTTGTTCGATAAAACCAAAACAATTACAAAGGGAAAAGAAATATAAAAAACAGGATGACCCCGACGTGATTTGAACACGCAACCTTCTGATCTGGAGTCAGACGCGCTACCGTTGCGCCACGAGGTCCTGTGTGCAAAAAATGAGTATATGGTTATATGAATAAGCACCATTCATCCTAAAGTCTTTTTTTTTTTTTTTTGATTTTATATCACAGTAAAAGACACGTGCTACCGTCATTTGTAGCATCACGAAACAAAAGCGACATAAAGCCACCGTCAAATGTCGCGTCGCTGTCGCCCTGCAAGTTAAAGCTAGCGAAAGCCGCTAGCGAAGGGCTAACGGCTAAAAAAAAAGCAGGGCTCTAAAGTAAAAAGCATGGCTCTAAAGTAGTTAAAAGTGAAGGGAATTGTTAGCTTTGTGTCGCCGTCAGTGTACCGATATAACAGACAATGAACAGTTCTTCTGCTCGTTGATTAATATTAGCTACTGCACATAACCATCTCATATAACGTATATGTACTGTACTATGAATTGACCTGGTGAAATGTGACTGATATCTGTCCCTGGTGGTCTAGTGGTTAGGATTCGGCGCTCTCACCGCCGCGGCCCGGGTTCGATTCCCGGTCAGGGAACATCAGTTTTATAATATTGCTTTAATAACATGGATTTACAAACTTTTTTTTAAATGAAAAGTGATTCTTTAGTTATTTATGTCAGTATGCACAGCACAAGATTCACTAAAGCAAAGATACTCTCAGGCTCTTGCATCTTTGGTGCATCTTAATGTTCCCTGCAGAGAGATTGCGTGTTCTGGCTTGCTGCATAAGGGCACGACAAGTCATTCAGAATTAATAAAGCGAGAAGAGGAAGTCAGGTGATTAAAACTTCCCTTCAAAATAAAAACGCAGTTTCACATTAGAAACGTCTTTCACCTGTCAGAGGAGCAGGGTCAGCAGGACACCATATGCATTGGATGGGTAACCAATTATGACGGGGGGGGGGATCAAGTCACTCTGGTATTCACAAAAATCAACGAATCAATAAATAAAATTGTATAACAGCAGCAATAAAAGTGTAAAAATATCTATCTTAGATTGCAGAAGCAAATTGTCTGCATAAGCTAGGGTGACCAACCGTCCTCTTCTTTTGCACTTGTTGACTTGTAAAAGCATATGAAGACATTTTTTATTTCATAATTCATTAACCACACAGAGAAGGCATCGTTTAAATATGTTAACGTTTTCTTGAAGCAAACAGTATTTTTAAAGTTCTTCATGACTGGTCCTTTATGGAAATCAAAATATGGTCACCCTAGCATGAGCTCATCAGTGTCCTCCTCAGTGATTATTGGTGATATGGTTGTTATCAGTTGTATATCAGCAGAATTCAGCTTAAAGGAGGACAGTGATTTATAATCCCAGCACTGTGGGAGAGGAACGTTATGACCTCCAAAACTAATGTTTAGGTATGCATGTGACACCAGTGACTGAAAAAGATGTTTCATTTATACAGCAGCCATCTCAAAGCAAGATCAAAGTAAAGTTAAAGTAAAGAGCCCACAGCACCAGGCAGAAAAAACCACAATGATCAGATGATCCCTTATAAGCAGCACTAGGCACGCACGGGGAAGAAGAGCTTCCCTGTGCGATAACTGCAGAACCAGCTTCAGATATTGTCATTCATCATGCTGAAGGGGGACAAAGTGAAAATATATTAACTTGTCATTGATTTCTTAGTGTTTGACATATCTCTCTCACTTACATGTTTCAGATCATCAAAAAAATGCAATAAAATGACTTTTAACAAGGCTTGGCTGGATTTTTCCTCTTAATAAAGAAAAATACAAATCGAATTTGTTTTTACTTGGATTAGTTTTGTGTTAAATATATTAAAATGTATTTAATGATCTTAAAAAGTGTGACAAAAAGAAAAGTAAGGTATTGTCATGTACATCCTCTCTCACTTCTCTAAATCTGTTAAATTGGTAAATCTCTTCTTAAAACTGTCTCAGAGTTAATTTTAAGAATATGTTTCTTTCCACAATTTTATGTATGTTCTACTAAACGTGCAATATTATTTTATTTATTTATTTCTAAATTATTTCTGTGAAAGTCTAAAAAGGTGCTATATAAATTCCATATTAATTTACTTAAATGTATTATTTAGTTTTGAAAATCTCACCGGAAATGCGCCGGTCGTGTCAGTGCTAGCTTGTTGCTCGATGCAGCAGCAGGAGCAGCCTGCATGGTCACCGTCACAGAGAAACACAGTAGAAAAGAGAGGGGCTAAAACGAGAGAGGAGGACTCACCGCTCCCGGCCTCCGCTCATGCATGCGGACACCGGCAGCGGCCTCGGACCGGACGGACGGACAGCAGGACCGCGAATCACCGGAAACATGGCGGCGGGAACAACAAGCTGCTCGGAGCCTTAGCGTCCACAAATCAGAGGCAGAGGCGAGCGGAGGAGCATCACCTATACAGGTCACCTCAGACATCTCTCTCTGTTGATGTGTCTGTGCCGATCCAATGGCCGGCATGTGTTACTGTATTTATTCTTGTCAGTCATTAATAATCTTGTCCAGCATCATCATTAAACCTGTTATTTTTCACACGTTTTTAAATATCCTCCTTTCTTCCTTTATTCCTCTGATCTTTGCTGTCCAACAGCAGCATCATGTGTCTGTCCCGGTGTCATCGTGAGTGAGGCAGACAGTAAAAGTGCTCCTGAGGCCTTTTAGTCCACAGTGCATTAATGCAGCAGTGATAACAGAACAAAGCAACGTGCTGCACATTTATCAGGAAGCTATCATAGAAACACAGTCTGGGTTTGTTTACTCTGACACGTTTATTAATAGCTTAACATTTCTTTATTTTTGTTCTAACACGTTTGCTCCAGTTTCCTTCATTAAGAGTTTATTTTAGATAAACTGAAAGAAAGAGAGTGGACTGGATGTGTGTGAACTGTGTATTTACTGTATATATTTCTTTCCACAGAGGCAATGAGGTGAGCGCTGAAAGCAGCATCCTGTTTCAAACCATCAACACGACCAACGCACTAAGACGAGCCATGGCCTACAAGGTAACGTGCTCACTTCCCTCTCAGGTCATCTGCAGTGTTTGCTCTGAATCCTCCGAGCGACATAAATCCGTCCTCTCTGTGTTTGAAATCTCAGCCTCTGCGCTCAGAAACGTGTGCTTTGTGATGAAGCTGACTCACAGAGTCAGCAGTAGTACCAGCAGCAGATGCTGTGGGTGTCGAGTTTCATTCACACAGCTTCAGCTGCGCTGAGTATCAGTACAAACATCACAGGGGTGTCTCAGCAGCTGTTATAGTAAACAGGAAGCAGCGCAGCAGCGAGGTGTTCGTTCACAAACCGCTTCTGCGTCTGCGGGGTTGATCCATCGACAACCAAACTGTACAAAAGTTCCCCGGCGGGCCTCTCAGTAACCTTCAAACTATGACTGTAGACGTACATGAAGATGTTAAGACCTTCATCT